CCTCCTTCCCTCCAGTAAAAGTGTTCCAGTTTGGACAAAATATTATATGATAACTTTACCTAAACGAGCTATTATCTTTGTTATAGAACATTATGTTTTGGCTGTGAAGCCAACTAAATTAGTAATTTCCCCATAAAGATACGATGGTCAGATTGGTTAAATCACCCGGCCTTTTCCCATACAGAAGAGTCATGAATCTGGCAATGTAAACAACATGAGGAGGGCTTTCAACAATGAAAGCATCAGCTCCATACCTCTACATTTTTTAAAAATAAATCTTTATTGTTCATATTATTACAGAAGTTCCTCATTTTTTCCCCATCCACCAGGTTTCCACCCCACCCTCTGCCCTTTCCCTAACCCCCATTGTCCTCATTTATAGGTGCACAGTTTATGTTCAGTCTCTTCCCGTACCCCCCACTCTCCTTTTCCCCAAGAATTATCAGTCCACTGCCCTTCCATACCTCTGATTCTATTATATTCACCAGTTGATATTGTTCATCAGGTTTTTTAATTCCCTTGTTTCTAGATTCACTTGTTGATAGTTATATATTTGTTGTTCATAATTTTTATTTTTATTTTCTTCCTCTTCCTAAAGAACCCCCTTCAGCAATTCATATAATTCTGGTTTGGCGGTGATGAACTCCTTTAGCTTTTTTTTTTTTTTTTATTAGTGAAGCTCTTTATCTGGCCTTCAATTCTGAGTGATAACTTTGCTGGGTAGAGTATTTTTGGCTGTAGGTTCTTGCTATTCATCACTATGAATATTTATTGCCATTCCCGTCTGGCCTGCATGGTTTCTGTTGAGAAATCAGCTGACAATCATATGGGTGCTCCTTTATAGGTAACTACCTGCTTTTCTCTTGCTGCTTTTAATATTCTCTTTTTGTCTTTTGCTCTTGGCATTTTAATTATGATGTGTCTTGGTGTGGTCCTCTTTGGGTTCCTTTTGTATGGGGTTCTGTGCGCTTCCTGGACTTGTAAGTCTATTTCTTTCACCAAGTGGGGGAAGTTTTCTTTCACTATTTCTTTCAATATGTTTTCGGTATTTTGCTCTCTCTCTTCTTCTGGGACCCCCATAATTCTGATGTTGGTTCGCTTGAAGTTGTCCCAGAGGTTTTTTACAACTATCTTCAACTTTCTGGATTCTCTTGTCCTCTTGGTTCTGCAGAGGAGTGCCCTCTGGCACTTTGTGTTCCAAATCTTTGATTTGATTCTTGCGATCTTCCATTCTGTTTTTAGGATTCTGTATAATATTTTTTTTATTTCAGACAGTGTATTCTTTATTTCTAGTTGATCCCTTTTCATACCCTCATAGGTTTCACTTATTTTATTGGCCTTTTCTAGGAAATTCTTGAAAACCCTTATAAGTGTGGTTTTGAACTCTATATCCAGTCTCTTTTTGTCCTCCATTTCTTTTGTTTGTGATCTGTTTCCTTGTCTAGGCATTTTCGTTGCTTCCCTGAGTTGGTAGGGTAGCTTTGTGTATTAAGGTGTCCTATATGGTTCAGTGGGTCAGCCTCCCAGTTATCTGAGGTAGACACTCTTGGTGCACCCCTTTGTGGACTGTGTCTACAGCCTTTTGTAGTTAAGTCTTAATTGTTGGTATGACTGGGAGGAACTGACCTCCAGGCCAATTGGCTGTGAGGATCAGCTGTGTCTATGCTGGGAGACAGCCTTATTCAAAAGCCTCTGTGCTCACCTTGGATGGGGTGGAGTTTCAGGGTGGAGCCTACAGTTTTGGCTTCCTGTCAGCCCTGCCCTATGAGGTTCCTGAGTCTCAGTGTTCCTCAATGTCCTTTGGTACTTGCTGCTTTGATACTCGCTGCAAGCACCTCTGAGAGAAAGGTGCCCTCGAGTTTCGCCCTCTACCAAACAGCCAAGGCTCTCCCCCAATGAGCCCGGAAACGGGGTTCAGTGCAGTTGGAAGTGGGGTTCAGTGCAGTCTGGAGCTTTTGTCTCCTTGCTGCTAGGGCAATCCAGCGGCACAGTCGGCAGTCCGCCCTCTGCGCGTAACGTGCGTGACTCCAGGGCTCTGTCTTTCGCCGCTCCCCTGAGTTTCTGCCTTACAGCCCAGATTCCCTCCTTATGAGCCTGGGTCCCCAGGGTCTCGCCCAGAACTGGGGTTCAGTGCAGTCGGAACTGGGGTTCAGCGCAATCTGGAGCTTTTATCTCCTTCCCGCTAGGAACGCCCCTCCTCTCCGGCTCCATCCTCTCCCCACGTGTGCACCGTGTCTCTGTACCTTAGGCTTTTACAGATCCTCTGATTTTCCTTCTGATTTTCTCTCTCCTTCCAGTTGTAGAATTTCCAGTCAGTCAACTTTCCTGTAGTTCTGGATAACGTCCACTTTATATGTTAGTTGTATTTTTTGAAATTGTTGTGTGAGGCTACAGTTAGGCATTTACTTATGCCGCCATCTTGGTTTCTCTTCTACATTTTTTTTTTAATTTGCTATTTATACAGCCTGCCATGATCATTTTGGAATAATGGGAGTCTCTGCCCAGCCACAAAGGATTTTAAATGTCACCAATAGTAATGAAAAAAAGTATTACACTTTTGTCTTATTTCTGGCTTCCCAAACAGAAAGCGGAAGTAGAAATTTGAATCAGGAGCTATTTATTTTTAAGTTAATAGTACAAAAGAAGGCCCTCTTTCCATCAAACTCCCCTCCCCACTACCGAGCCTAGAATTATTAGGAATGGCATCTCCACAGAATGGAAAAGCTGGACACCAAGCATTCAACTAAAGTCCAGGGCCCCCTGTCACACTTCCTTCCCTAGCTCTCCCAAGTAGCTAGCTCCCTCTGTGAGAAAGTCAGTGGAGAAACTACTGGGAATGGGGAGAGCTAAATTAGTGTTCATCCCAGATAGCAATTTGCAAGGCAGCAGATCTACTTACCCACACTCCAATAGCAGCACTCTAACCCTGCGGGATGCCATAGATTCCAGAGACCTGGTCTCCCACCCCACGCTGTCCCAGCACATTCTGGGCATATTTGCACATATTGTTGCCCCTCATTTCAATCTTAGATAGCAGTTCTCTCAGTGTGTCTCAGAGTTCAGTCTGCAGATAGCCTTATACCGTAACTACTCTAAGCTTAAGAACATTATCATCCACCTTCGGGTTGAACTTGTTGGCTAATGAGGTGATGGTTCTGAAGAATCCAATGAAGGTCCCCAAAGCCATAAATACAGATAGACCGCTGGTGGATTCCAGAGCAAGGTGCATAAGGTGCCCCATGCTGATGTCTCCTTCATGACCCTGCTGCTTTACCAGCCAGGCAATGGCAGCCATGTCTGATAGGTAAAACTTGGGGTGATCGGGATCAGAGCCAGGCATTCATGGGGCACACTGAAGCATGGTCCAGTGTTCACCGAGGCTATAGTTATCTTGCCCACTCAATTAGTTGCTGGGCTTTGGGGTTCTTGAAGACTTGTTGGACAAAGCTTCGAGAAGCCACAATGAAGGCATTTCCCATGAACAAAGGTAAATTATTAGGCGGAGGATCCTTCATCTTCCATATACATACATGTTGGTTATGTATATTGTGTCTTTTGCCTCATAGTGATATTGCCGGTGAGATATTTTGTACTCGGTAGGTATCTTGTACTCCATACTGTTCTTCCCATTCAACATCTTGAGGGCCAGGACCATCTCGGCATTGGTCTTTATAGGGCAGTCTGTTCTGCATGTATTTAGGAAGTATTTCCATGGCCCTGGGCTCTGGAGAAAGTCTTCCATACTGTTTAGGTCCACCTGCACCCCTCCCAACTATCCTCCTCTGCTGGCCTGATTGCCCACAACTGCCCTCCCCTGCAGGACATCTTGTGGCAGCAATCTTGTATCCACATGGGGATGGTCATCTTGTGTGTTGGAGTGATGGTCAATTTGCATATTAACTATTATATAGGATAATAAAAGCTTAATATGCAAATTGCCCCCTTGACCGGGAGTTCGACAGCTCCCTATGATGTGTGCTGACGAACAGGGAGCTGTGTGAAACATGGCGAGTATTGGTGATGCAGGCACTGGCAGCAGGTGTCAGTGGAGGCACTGTCGACCCCAATGAGCCCCAATGAGAGCGGGACTGCGACGGGATGGTGGAGCAGGTGAGCAGGCAGTCCCAGGCCAAGGTGGGTGCAAGTGGGGCCTGATTGCCCCTCAGATGACCAGCAATGGTGGCGGGGGGCCTGATGACTCAGGCAGAAGGGAGTACATGGAGACCCCGGGGCCCAGGTGCTGTCCAGGGCCCAAAGGTCAGCTGGGACCTGCCCTTCCATACCAGACACTCGTGCTTCGATAGCTGGCCATGCCTAGGGAACACACCTGTGCACAAATTTTGTGCACCGGGCCTCTAGTAAAACTGTAAGAATACACATATCCATGATTGTATGGAACTCTATAAAACTATTTGGGGTTATAAGAGTGGAAAAGTTTGTCAGATTATTTTCTCTGTGATCACTTTTTGGCTTTTTGGCTAAGATAAAGTGTAGTATCTGTTCTTATCAATTTAATACTTTCTCTGTGAAATTAAGTTTATAAAAATTTCAAATGGAGACTCTTCATTAGGTTAGAAACTTGTAAAGAATGTGTAGTGATAGAGGTCCTCACACCTCTTGGCATAGTGGTTTCCAGCAGTTTTCTTCCTTCAGTTGTATCAGCTCTGGACTCTGGTCTGAGTGAGGCGTGCTCTGGTGGCATAGAGCTCAGGGACCCTGGGGCTTTCGGAAGAACACAAGTCTGAGATGGGTCCATGTCCTCTCTGCTAAGCAGGACAAAGACTTCATCACATGTGTGAGAGCTCTTGCTAGGCAAGGATCCTGTTATGTGCTGGTGTCTTAGGTTTGTTCTGAATCCAAACCATTCTTTCGCCGTTGATGTCCTAGTGTCTCTAGGTCAAGTGTGATGACACATTTTAGCCCAACATACCCACTAATTTGTCCCTTTTCCTCCAGAGCAGAGTGGTCTTGGCCTTAGTGGAGACTGACCCAGGAACCAGATGAGCAGAGACCTCTGCGTCCACACCTGGCCATGCTCCTATTATTTGGAACTTGAGAAGCGATGGGTTCCTGGAAAACTTTGGTTAACTTCACTTTCACTAAAATTTCTGACTGATAAAACTGGAGACTTTCTTGTCAGCTTTCCTCTTGCTGATATAATTGAGATCAAGAAAGAAGCTTCTAATTTTATCTTCAGTTCTGTCACCATCCTGGAAAAGGACCATGTCAAGCACTGGTTCAGTTCCTTGCAGCCTAGTCGGAATGTTGTTTTCCATATCATCGAACACTTCTGGAGAGAGTTGCTGCTGTCTCAGCCAGGAGCTGCTGTGGAGGCATCATCCTCCACCATGACCAAGGGGAAGGAGCTGACTGGTCTGATGGCCTGTTCCCAGAAGCGTCTAGAAGATGCAGCCAGAGTCCTACACTACCAGGGTGAGCAGCTGGACAGCATAACGAGCAGCCTGGACAATATGGAGTCTGACCTGGATGTGGCTGACAGGTAGAGAAAAGTACTGTAGCTGTAAGCTGCTCTTTTGGTGTCTTCCATATCCCATATTTAATACACATTCAGGAAACATGGGTTATTCCTGCTGTGGACAGTTATGCTGGGCTGGATGCTCTGGGCATATAATACAGTAAAAGAACTGTTGCCAGATTTAGTGTAAGTCTTTAATGAGGATACCTCATTCAATCACCAGATAAGCTAAGAAGAGAGAGAAACTGAGTTTGAGAGGCCAAAGAATTGGTTTGAGATCACACACACTAGGTTTATTAACAGTTTATTTTTTAGTAGCTTTTTTTTTTTTTTTTTTTTTTTTTTTTTTTTTTTAAATATATATATATAGCTGTGGAGCAGCCAGCTTTCAACAGAAGCATTTTGGCTCCAGAAGTTACCACCTGAGCTGCTGGACCAGCAACTCTCAAAACTTGGGTCTTGGGGCTCTTCTAACTCTCTTAAAAATTGAGGCCCCAAAGAGGTTTTATTTCTGTGGGTTATGTTCTATTAACCATGTTTTTTAAAACAAAAAAATTAAAAGTCTTATTATTTAAAGAGTAAAATAATAAACTCATGACTTAGTAATGTGACATTAAAAAATAATATCTTTACATTATTATATTTTTACTAGAGGCTCGGGGTACGAAATTTGTGCACAGGTAGGGTCCCTAGGCCTGGCCAGCGATCAGAGCCAATCCGTGGGGTGACTGGAGGGACGATCGGGGGTCCTCCACTAGCACTAGCCTTGGCTACCCTGGGGTCCGTGGGCTGGGGGCAGCTCCTGGGTTGAGTGTCTGCCCCCTGGTGGTTGTTCTGCTGTTTGGTCAATTTGCAGTAGGCTTTTATTATAAAGGACCTTCGGGTCCTTGTTTGACCAGGAGTTCCACCATTAGACCGGGAGTTCGACTGCTTGCTATGACATGAGCTGACCACCAGGGGGTGGTGTGGAAACATGGTGGGTGTAGGTGATGCGACGCTGACAGCAGGAGGCAGTGGAGGTGCTGCCCGCCCGGATGGGCCCAATGAGAGCGGGGCTGTGGGCGGATGGTGGAGCAGGTGAGTGGGTGGCACCAGGCCAAGGTAGGTGTGAGCGGGGGCCCAATAACCCTGCCCATCATCCCATAGATGGTGACCAATGGCGGTGGTAGGAGCGGGGCTGCCACCAGGCTCCTAGGCTCTGAGGGAACCGTGTGGGGGACTCGGCCCTGACCAGTCATCTCACAGGCAGGATGATACAGCAGGTGAGGGGGCAGCGCCAGGCCAAGGTGGGTGCCTGTGTGGCTGTGAGGCTAGGGATGCAAGTTGGGGCCTGATCTCCGAAGGCCACCCCAATGTATTTCACCCGTGCACCATGCCTCTAATTAATTAATATGTGTGTGTGTGTGTGTGTGTGTGTGTGTGTGTGTGTATATATATATATATATATATATATATATATATATAGTGGCCAGATTATTATGTTTGCTGAATGCATAATAATCTGGCCATTCAATTAGAGGCCCAGTGCATGAATTTGTCCATTGGTGGGGTCCAACCAGCCTGGCCAGATGGAGGAGACGTGGGTGGTTGGCCGGCCAGCCTTCCTGCTGATCAAACTCCTGGTTGAGGGGACAATTTGCATATTAGCCTTTTATTATAGAGATATACACTGAGTGGCCAGATTATTATATGTTCAGTGTGTGTGTGTGTGTGTGTGTGTGTGTGTGTGTGTGTGTGAACAACCAGTCGATCAGTTGCTATGATGTGCACTGACCACCAGGGAGCAGATGCTCAGTGTAGGAGCTGCCCTCTGGTGGTCAGTGCGTTCCCACAGCAGTAGTGCCGCTCAGCTGACCATTGGGTGCCAGGTGACGGGTCACAGCTGGCAAGCACTGTGGTGGCGTGAACCTCTCCTGCCTCCATGGCAGCACTACTGAACAGCGGTGGCGGCAGGTGCCCAGCCCAGGCTTGGGCTCCTCCCCAGCCACCTGCTGCTTCTGGCACTACTACATCCCGAAAGGGGTCCCACATTTTGAGAGGGCATAGGCCAGGCTAAGGGACCCCACCAGTGCGCCAGGCCTCTATTATCTTATCTAATAAAGAGGGAATATGCAAATTGACCATCACACCATCACAGTGGAGGTGGGGTTTCCATAACACAAGATGGCTACGCCCACAGGGAAGGCCGAGTTCCCATAAGGAGCCTTAAGGAGCAATCGGCAGGGACCTGAGGCTGCATGGTGCTGGGCCGAGTCAGATGACCTGAACCTGTGCCCCCTGCCTGGTGGGGCTTGACAGGGGACCTTAGGCCATGACCCCACCCCGGCACTGGGGACCTGAGGCTGTGCTCCCCTCCTGGTACTGGGCCAGGAGACCTTAGGCTCTGTCCTCCTCCCAGCGGGGCTTGACAGGGTACCTGAGATTGAGCCTCACACCAGGTTGATGGGGACCTGAGCCTGCGCCGCCCCCATCTGGCAGGGCTTGACAGAGGACCTCAGGTCACTCCGCCTACCTCGGCTCTGGGCCAGGGGACCTGCAGGTATGCTGGGGGACCTGGGGCTGCAGCCCCTCCCCCCCTCCAACCCAGCGCCAGGCCAGAGGACCTGAGGCTGTGCCCCTACCGGTCGGGGATTGACGGGGGACCTGAGACTGTATCCCCTGCCCAACGGGGATTGACAGGGGTGGGGCTGGCTCGGTCTGGGTCTCACACAATTTTGAGGCGCCTCAGGTGGGTGGGGACTTGACTCTGGGTTCCACAATGTGTCCCAGACTCTGATAGAAGGAAGATTTTCATATGCATTTTACTAGTCTTTCATCTCTGACACTTCTATTACAGAGAAAGGGCAAATAGCAATATTAAAATATTTCCTCTAATTAATCCCCTTTTAATGTGCACGAATTTTGTGCACCACGCCACTAGTTATATAATAACCAGTTCAGTGAAGAATAGCCCTGTTTGAGACATTGTACCTCTGTACAGTGAGGCTTAGCAGAAGACATAAAGTTCCCATGCCTGCTGCCTTTATAAAACCCCTGCCTGCACTGAGATCCTAAGATGGGTTTGGGTTTTGGTACAAGAGATCATGTGATATTTGTCTTTCTCAGATTGGCTTATTTTACTTAGCATAATATTTTATTTTCCAGGTCTATACCTGCTGTTCCAAAGGATAAGCAATCCCTCTTTTTTACAGTTGCATACTATTGCATTGTGTAAATGTTCCACAGCTTTTTTTATCCATTCATCTACCGATGGGCACTTGGGCTGTTTCCAAGTCTTAGCTGTTGTAAATAACGTTGCTATGAACATAGGGGTGCATTGGTGTTTTGGGTTTTTTAGGATATATTCCCAGAAGTGGGATTTCTATCTCAAAGGGAAGTTCTGTTTACAATTTATTGAGGAAACTATACTGTTTTCCATAGTGACTGCATCAATCTGCTGCATTCCTCCCAGCAATGAACTCCACATCCTTACCAGCATTTGTTGTTCGTTGATTTTTTTATGGTAGCCATTCTGACATGTGTGAGGTGATATTTCATTGTAGTTTTAATTTGCATTTCTCTGATAATTAGTGACTTTTAGCATTTTTTCATGTGTCTCTTGGCCATTTGTATGTCTTCTTTGGGGAAATGTCTATTCAGGTCATCGTCTGCTCATTTTTAAATTGAATTGTTTGATTTCCTTTTGTTAAATTATATGAGTTCCTTATAACCCCTAATTGGATGCATCACTGGCAAATGTGTTCTCCCATACATTAGGTTCCCTTGTCATTTTGATAGTGGTTTCTTTTGCTGGGCACACACTTTTATTTTGATGCAGTCTCATTTGTTTATTTTCTCCTTAGTTTCCTTTGCCCTAAGGGATATATCTGGAAACATATTGCTACGTGAGATGTTTGCGATTTTACTGCTCGTGTTCTCTAAGATTTTTATGGTTTCATGCCTTACAGTTAAGGCTTTATCCATCTTGAGTTTATTCATGTGTAGGGTGTAAGTTGGTGGTCTAGTTTCATCTTTTTGCATGTGTTTGCCCAGTTTCCCAGCACCATTTGTTGAAGAGACTATCTTGACTCCATTGTATGTTCTTTCCTCCTTTGTCAAATATTGACTGTAATGGTGTGGGTCAATTTCTCGGGTCTCTGTTCTGATTCATTGATCTATAAGCCTGTTCTTGTACCAGTACCAGGCTGTTTTGGTTATAATGGCTTTGTAGTCCAGTTTGAATCTGGTATTGTGATCAATACCAGATATTCAACTTCTTTCTCAAGATTGCTGTAGCTATTTGGGGTCTTTTATGGTTCTATATAAATTTTTGGAATATTCTAGTTCTGTGAAGTATGTTGTTGGTATTTTAATAGGGATGGCGTTGAATCTATAGATTGCTTTGTGTAGTATAGATATTTTAATTATATTAATTCCTCCAATCCATGAACCTGGTATACATTTCTGTTTGTTTGTTTTTTCCTGTATTTCTTTTTTCAGTGTCATAGTTTTCCATGTACAGGTCTTTTACCTCCTCGGCTAAGTTTATTCCTAGGTATCTTTCTGTTGCAATGGTAAATGGGATTGCTTTTTTAGTTTCTCCTTCTGAGCGTTCATTATTGGTGTATAAAAATGCCATCGATTTCTGAATATTAATTTTATATCCTGCTATTTTGCCAAATTCATGTATTAAATCTAATAACATCCTGGTGGAGTCTTTAGAGTTTTCTAGGTACAATATCATTCCATCTGTGAATAATGACAGTTTTACTTTCTCTTTTACAATTTGGATGCCTTTTATCTCTTTTTCTTATCTGATTGCTGTGGCTAGGTCTTCCAGTACTATGTTAAATAAGAGTGGTGAAAGCAGACATCCCTGTCTTGGTTCCTGTTCTTATGGGGAACACTTTTAGTTTTTGCCATTGAGTATTATGTTGGCTATAGGTGTGTCATATATGACATTTATTAGGCTGAGGTATGATACTTCTGTTCCCACTTTACTGAGAGTTTTTGTTAAAAAAAGAAAAGAAAAGGTTGCTGGATTT